TGTGACGACCCCGGGCTGGACTCCGCTTCGTCCACGGTGAAAGCCGATCCGGCGATCCACAGCACGAAGTTGTAGTATTTCCTCAGCGACCAGCACGGATCAGCTCCAGGCATGACGAAGCAGATATCGTCCTCTTTTGGAAGGCCAAACAAAGTAGTTTCGCTTTCACAACGAAGCACACAGCAGCAACAATATTACAGTGAGAATAAAAGTTGCGCCTTCTTTCTTTGCGTGAACATTTGGGCGGCGTTATGCAAATCTTCCCACTTTGTGACGTAGACATGTGGGGGCGTGTTAGAATGAGCCGTTTTAGGTAGGTGTGGCTGACTCTTAACTTTTATAAAGAATATCTCTTTGGATTTGAGACTTTATGCACCAAGAGCTTGTAACACTCCAAAGAGAAAGGAAAAATTGAAATCGCATCATATGACCCCTTTAATATACTAAAATGTGTTTGATATACATCTATTTCATGTTAAGTATACTACAAATACATTTACATATTTATGTACTTAATAAAAATACCCTGAAATTGTACTTTTAGTATACTAAACTGATATACTTAAAGTCTGCTAAATTGGAACAACTTGTTTTGCACTTAATGCGTTTTAATTGTGCGGAAGCAGTGCTGAAGTCCAACTAAAGATGAACTGAAGTATATTTGATTGTGCTAAAGTGGAACTATTGCAAGTATACTTCAGGTACACTTTAAATATCTTGTATTTAAAGACCGAAATTATTCAAAGATCATACAGTCCTCATCAATAGTGAGATTAAAACACATTTTAGGCTTAATATTAAGAAATGTCCATTGTGCAATAAAGAAATACTCCAAATAAGTTGAATTATAATTTTTATATCAGTAAGTTTCGAGTGATATATCAGTAAATATATTAATAGATTTGAACTATACTTAGTATGAAATAAATGTATTTTAAATATATTACGTTTTTACTAGGCTAGTTAGCCTTAACTAAAACAGATATTTCAGACTCTAAAATATGATTGGATGAGCTGCACTAAAAGGTATAAAATAGCCCATATACACACCTATATACATATACATATACAAAACGGTTTAATTCTGTTTAATTTAACCATATAAACACACAACTGTTTAATTCTGTATTAATGCATCAGGTTACTAGTTTGTTTGGCAACTGAGAGTCTACAGTCAGGCTAATGAACTCTATTATGTGGCAGAAGAAATGTTTATTGTGACTATTATTATTGTCTAAGGGGTTTTATCAGTACACCTTGGTAAAATCACTGTAATGCACAGCCTCTCGGAGTCTTGCAATTGATACCATTTATTTCTGTGCTTATAGGACAAAACAGCTTAAAAATTAACAAAAAAATTGACTGTTTTCAGAAATGTTTCGAACTCAGTAGGTCAAATATTATATGATATGTATTGTTATTATAAAATGTTTCTATAGTGATTGAATTTAATTAATTATGTCTAAAACTACCTATTGCTATTTTATGTTAGATAATAGTTTATCTTATATCAATAATCCTATTTCTAAAGAACATAGTTATCTGTTACTTAAAAAATGTAATACAGTTTGTTCCCTATTCATTTAAAGTGCCATATAGTATAACACATAAGGGCAACTAACGCATGCTGTAATCCAACTATACAATCATTCAGTAAAAGGTCATAAAGCCATGGACATGTATGTTAATATTTTTATACATCCTGTTCCTTCTATATCTCTATTTCTGTCTCTGTCTTCTATCACTATCAAGTCATTTACTCATAGTGAAGCTGTGTGTGTGTTTATTTAGCCGAGATTGGGGATTTTGAGGAAACTCAGTGTAGACAGCATCTACTTAACACCAACTACATCCCTGACCAGATGGCCCTGATGGACAAAATCGTGGAGTTCCAACATAAACACATGTGAGTCTCCCAAACAAAACACTAAGGCTCACTGTTTGGGAACTTACAGTAGATCACCGACATCTATTTGATTTCCCTGTTGAAAAAAACAGCATATGATGGTTAGGTATGTTTTGAAGCATGGCAGCTGGTTTGCTGGTTTAAGCTGGTCCTTAGTTGGTCATGAGCTGGTTATAAGCTAAGATGGTCATATGCAACTAGCTCCTGCTCAGGACCAGCTCATAACCAGCTTATAACCAACTAAGGACCATGCTTCAAAACATACCTAACCAGCATATGCTGTTTTTTTCAACAGGGTTGAATATGCATTTTCATCTGGAAGTAATTTTCAACAATTTGTTCAGCAATTTGAGACAAAATGAGCTAACCTTTAAAGTACAGTATAGCATATAGCAAAACACCAGGCAGTGTTATAACTTGTGTTTGTGTGTGTATATAAGTGGACAGACGCCAGCAGAGTCAGATTACCGGTTGCTGGAGGTGGCGTGCAGGTTGGAGATGTACGGCATCCGACTCCATCCTGCTAAAGACAGAGAAGGAACCAAACTCAGTCTGGCTGTAGCACACGGCGGCGTCCTCGTGTTTCAGGTGCATGCAATCACACACTCTCTCTCACACACACACAAGCATACATGAACAACAGCATGACATGAGTTGTGTTTTACTCAGGGACACAACAGGATCAACAACTTCAACTGGTCTAAAATCCGCAAGCTGAGCTTCAAGAGAAGGAGGTTCCTTATCAAACTAAGAGCAGACCCTAGTGTGAGTTTCATGTAGTATATTAAGCTCTCATTTATCATTTCGAATTGTTACGTGGAGTCTCTCTGTCTCGTCTTGTAGCAGAATGTTAATCAAGATACTCTGGAGTTTTTGATGGCGAGTCGGGACTGCTGTAAAATGTTTTGGAAGATCTGTGTGGAGTATCACGCCTTCTTCAGGCTCTTTGAGGAACCCAGACCCAAACCCAAACCGGTGCTGTTCAGCAGGGGCTCTTCCTTCAGGTTCAGGTGCTAAACCTGATTAAATGCTTTTGGTAACATTTATATGTGTGAATTTGTCTGTAGGTGAAGTGTGAACCCTTGTGAAAAGAAGCGCACTTAACTGTATTGCATGTGCACTTGTAGTGTACTTCAAATCTAAAAGTATTTTTTCAACTGTACTTGCAGGTAATGTAATGTTAATTAAATAAAAGGCAACTTAAGTGTACTTAAAGAGAGTACAATCATTATGTTTTAATAATTCTGTGTCATGCTTTAAAGAAGTACACTTATTTTGAAGAACATGTCAGGTACTTGACTTTAATTTTATCTGCAGTGTATTATTTTGCTCTTGTCAAAATGTTGTGTAATCCAGTTGGACTAATTACCACCTCTTCTCTGCAGTGGTCGGACACAGAGGCAGGTGATAGATTATGTGAAGGAAAATGAGTTTAAAAAACTGCCCTTTGATAGGTGAGCCTGATCTGTTATTTTAATGAATGGAAAGTCAGTATTTCTGCACTGCTATTCCTTTAAGATTTAATTAGTGTAGAAACTCGTAAGGCTGTGTGGTTCATTATTCGTGTGTTTGTTGTGCTGTCTTTCAGGAAACATAGTCGAGTGCAGTACAACAGCAGTCTGTCACCTCTGCGTTCTGCACAGCACCAAGTGCCAAATCAAGTTAGTGTCTTCACATAGGAATGTTTTCAAGCCATTTTTAACTGTTTAATAAGGAATATTTTGGGTTCAGCACAACTTAAGCTCACTCTAAAGCATTTGTTGCATAATGGTATTATGTTGAACAGCAAATATTTTAGAAATGGACGGATAAATGAAATTAAATATTAAAGATGCATTCAGAAGTCTAATGCTAATTTAAAAAGTCGTATACATTTACATTTAGTCATTTTGCAGACGCTTTTATCCAAAGCGACTTACAATTGGGGGATACATAAAGCGATTCTTCTTAAAGAGGCAAACAGATACAGGAAGTGCTTGTAATACCAAGTTCTTAGACATTGTTCAAATAAGTACAAGCTAGAAAGAGAAGGAATAAATAAAGAGAGAGAATTTTTTTTTTTTTATAATGATGATGATGAAGTCAAGTAGCTTCGAAAGAGATAGATTTTCATCTGTCGCTTGAAAATTTTCAGGGTTTCAGCATTCCGGATAGG